CAACTTAAACTTAAATGACATTTAGAGTTACACAAAATATTAGCAGCTTTACAAAGATACTTTATACTTGATTTTACAGTGGTATCTCTTATAGCCTTGTCCACCAGATGAAGATTGGGCATTGGCTAGTTGGCGGAGTGATTTGTTTTCGGGCAAAGCATTTTCAAGGTCTAAAAATTTTGATTCTGACATGCTGAATTGATTCCTAGAAAAAAAAACGGGCACTGTACCAAACTGACTGCCCAACTTATGAAAACCATCTTCAGTACATTCAAGTTCCACCATTAAAACATTTGGGAAGTTTCCTCTACCTCTATCTAACGTCAGGAATTTTAGCACGGACGGTATCACCTACCTTGCAAGGAGGAAACTTTTTATTTGACGAAGTCACACTTTTCACCTCCCTTCTGGCCTGGTTATTTTTCAGCTGTTCAAGAATTTTCTCCTGATCCTCCTCATTCTCGATTTTTTAGATTGCTTCGAGAGCCAGATCTGATGACGTTACCCAACTTTAACATCACAACTAAACATTGCTTGGTACGGCGATCTTTTAATTCCATGATGATATGCTCTATTTTTCATTAGTTGAACGAATATTAATCCTTCAGACCATTTTTGGATATTTTCATCGGTCAACCACACAATGAGCATTTTTTCGACATCTTGATTGGTACATTTCTACGCTACCCTGTGACTGGCTATGGCGCGGTTTCCCATGCACAATCTTTAGACCTGGCCACATTGCTGTCAAATTTACCACAATTCGGTTAACGAACTCCTGGCCATTATTTATCAGATTGCAATACAGATGGTGATCCAAATATACAAAATATATCCAGCAGTACCTTTGATACTCCCTCAGCAGTTTTACCTTGGGGGTAGCTGTACGAACTATGTCAGGTAAACCTGGTAAACTAATATGAAGTTAAAATTACCATCTGGGTTTGTTTACATGTCTATAAAATCTACCTTTTAACGGCTATTCAGCTCATTAGATAAAATGGGTTTCACGACAATACCTTTTTTGATTGAATTTTGTTTCATTTGACATGACTTACAAAAACAAAGATAAATGAGAACATAATCCTGAGTGATGTTGAAAATTTATATCTGTATACAATAGTGACAAAATAAAGTATAATCAACGAAAAGGCATAAAGAAAACATAGGTCAGTTAGCACACTTACAACATATTTCGCTGCTGATCAAGTAGAACTTCTTATATAATATTTTTTCTTCAATTCTGCTAACGAATTAGTTTCTTTTAAACTACCGTCTAAAGAATTATATAATTTGTTCGCATTATAAATATGTATTCTGAAATAAGATGTGCTGTGGCGTGGAATTTAAAAATTCTCTCTCTCTCTCTATATATATATAATATTGTCATATATATTTCGTCTACGTATGAATTTGGTTACGTTACTAAATATGACGATGTTTTTGAATAAAGAACCCTATGACTCAGACTTAGGAGCTGGTATTTATACATTTTATCAATGTTCATCCATTTGAGGTGATTTATGGCCTTCCGATATATGATCATATTTTCTGAGAATGTGGTACAAGCGTTGGTTGAGGATCAAAATCTTGCGAGAAGACTTACCATTTGGGAACGTCTGAATCAGGAACACGTTTCTCAGTTTCCTCAACCAGATTTTCATTTCTTCGTCGACTGACTTACCCCAAAGCAACTTAGCCCCTTCGTATGTTCAGGACAAGTTGGAATATGATAGTACTGATATCTTTGAACTCGATATAAGCAGAGACATCCCAGGCGTCTTGAGGATTAGAATTTACCCTCGATTCAGGAACGCGACCCGCTATCAACTATGGATAGGTTTTCGAGTTCAATATGGAAGCAATATGATGGAAAATGAAGATGAAAAAGAAGATATATTAGGATACTACTGTACTTTTAAGAAGGATGCAAGCATCTCGGCATCAACAGCACATAAAGTACCCCAATAGAATGCTTCTGCGATACATCTAGAATGCCGGTAATAGGGACACACAATTTTGCTCAAATAGGAGAATCCATAGTTTCTGGTGAAGATTGAAGTTATGCACTGAAAACAAAAAAATGCAACTAACTGACTTGCTTTCTTAGCATGTTGAGGTTTGGGCTTTGTGTCTATCGATACATTTATTCACGATGCCAAGACACACGGCATATGACAGATTCAGCCAAAATAACCGAAATCATTTATCTTAGTAAAATAGATGTCTGAGTAGAACAGATATCTAGTTGGGAAGCCTATATTTCGAGTTTTTGGGCATGTTCCCTTTGAGACGTGTGTTCAGGATAGCAAAATTCATAATATTTCACAAATTCAGTGATATTCACCAAAAGCACTCCCCCAGTAGAGCAGATGACTCAGTAGGACCCATACTCCAACATACTAACTCAGGCGTCCAACATTTTGGGACCCGTTGTGTTTTGAGAGAAATTAACCGAAACCACTCTTCCACTGAAAGCACATATTCGAATAAAGCCGATACCCCATTATACTGACTTCGACGGCCCATATCTTGGGATCAGTTGAGGTTGGGGCTCTGTGTCTATTGAAACATTTGTTCAGGATGCCAAGACGCATTACATACAATATCCAGAGAAAATAAGCGAAACCACTTTTTCTCCCATAGGCGTGTTGCTGGGCCCTTTCTCAATAAAATCTGGCAATCGTGTTTTCAGAACTTTTCCAACAATTTTGGAACAATATATAAATCGGTCAATAGTTACAAGTTTCTGTTTATCTCCAGATTTGAATACTGGTTTGATCATAGCATTTTTAAGTTGGGATGGGAATATTCCGTTTTCGATATATGGGAGTTTATAAGATACGATAACATTATTGAAATGTTGTGGTCTATTTGCTTCAGAGCATATGCAGTTAGGTTATTTATCAGAACCAGATGATTTTTTAACTTTTAGACCCTACATAATATCTTCAGTTTCATTCGGATCAGTTGGTGTCAGATAAAAAGAATTTTGTAATATAGTTTTCGTATATGAAAATTCTTTCTCATTTGAAATCTTTTTTGCCAATTATTTACCTATTTCAGAAAAAAATTTGCGAAACTTGTTAGCTGTTTCAGCATCGTTTTGTGTCATTTTTCCGTTTGTCTCTTCTATAGAGGGAATTTGATTATTTATTTCTCTATGCTGAAGGTTATATATGAAATCCCACATTTTAGCAGAGTTATTTTGAAATGTATCGATCTTTTCTTTTTACAATATCGGTCAGTTTGTTTCTATATTCATTTAAAAGTTCAAATCCCATGGATATTTTTATGAATCATGATGTAGTTTATTTCTTTTTGTTAATGGATTTGATAGATCCATTTGTTATCCAACTTCACTATTTTTAAAATCAATTTTCAGCCACAATAGTTTAGTTCAATAGCTTCAATAAGCAAATTCTTCTAACGGTGGCTTTAATTCAAGGTCGACCAGTGCACAACCAAACGTCGTACTCTATTCATAATGACATCATGGTTAAAACCGGGTACTGAATTTCTAAAACCAGCTCGGCACGGGTATTACGTATCTTGAAATGTGACACTATGTCTATTTTTGTTGACATTATATTAGCTTTTTGTGGCACTAGCTGATGGACACTTGATGTAAACTCGTTATGTGGTTGTACGTATTGCCTAAACGTCATGATGCTTCAATTATCAATGTTTGGCTATGATGAGATGTAACATCTGCTTTAGAGATGGCATTATATTGGAGGTTTAATTTGTAAGTTGTATACTATAGACTGGAAGCGAACGGCAGTGCATAGCTGCATAGTGAATATGTGTTGATGATAATTCCATTGGTTTCTTGTCTCAAGTGGATTTACTGGAGATGTATTAAAAACTTGAAACTAGTTGCACATCCACTTTTCCTTATTCAATCTGGAAATTACATTATGCAAATTTGCTGAATTTCAAAAATGAGAAAGATGAGAAAAGAAAATTCCTGGTTAGTGAAGTAACAGGTGAGAAAATGCTATAGACAGGAATATTTATGAAAGGGAAAAGGTTATTATATTATTTTTTATTTCCAGTCATTTAAATTTTTAGAAATTCACCTTCAACAGAAAATACAAATCAGCGCCTAGATGTGAGGCAGTGCGAAAATTTCCCGCAATGTTCCTCAAAGTTTTTGAATACACAAAAAAAAAACGGAAAAAATCGTCATTTATAACTTTGAACATAACCTGTCTTTAGAAAGGACAACATATAAATAGCCCGTCGGGCGCAGCTAATAGATATACTTCATTGGCAGCTTATTCAGTAATAATTTTGTCACAAATATCACTGATTTTATACACATGGAGAACAATACACATAATGATCCAGATGAGATCTGGGTACTCAACCAATTTTCTTTCTTTCACATTGAGCCTAATGAATAAAAATTAAGCTATTACTTTAAGCAATTACTTTTTGGCAAAAGCAATTGCTTAAATAGCAATTGCTGTAAGGAAAAGCAATTGCTAAATTTTGCAATGAATAATATTTTTAAGCAAATGCTGAATTTCCAGAATCTTAAAAGCAATTGCTTATATGTGTATGTGTTCAACGCATTTAGACTTGCAAGTATGTTTAGGAGTCGATACGTGCATTTATTTCAGTTTTGTTCCGAGTTTCTTACATTCAGCATAACTTAGTAGGTGGGATTAGGAACATATTTTTCGGTAAAAAATAAAAAAGGCAGTGAAAATTATGGCTGATTCAAGTGGAAGTGACGAATCCCATGATGAGGAAGAAATGGATAAGCAGTTGTTATTTGTGCATAAATTAAAAGAACATAAAATCGTTCTTAATAAATCGCAAGTTCCACAAGTTAAAATAGAAAAGGAGGCCGCTTTAAAAATTTTAGTAGGACAATATAAAGATATTTTTAACGCGACACTTACAACAAAGCAGTTAGCAAAAAAAATAAGTAATATGAAGACCGAAATAAAGAAGAAATTTGATATTAATAAGACAGGCAATAAAGCTATAATCTATAACTCTTGGGAAGCGTTGTTAATAGAAATGTTGGAAGTTCATAAGAGTCCCATCTTCAAAAAAAAAAACAGGTAAAGCAAATTAAACTTTATTGTATCGTAGGTTTTTTTAAACATCAAAATAAATCATTCAGGTGCTGTCTCTGTTGGAGCCAACGAAAGCATAACACTTGCTGAATCCTCCACCTCGGCCATCAGTGACACTCTGGCCCCCTCAAGTGCAAAATAAATTACTATTCCTGCAAAGAAAATTAAGATATCACATTTACCAGAAACTGAAGAAACCCAATAATTATCAACTGCTGAGTTGAAGCGATTAGTTCTATTAGAGCAGTTGAAATTATGTCGAATGCAACAAGAAGAAATCATTAAGAGAAGCAAGGTGGTGGTAACTTTATAACAAACAGTAGTTTTTCGGAGGAAAAAATGTATTACAACTTGTAATTATTATTAATTATTTAATTTAGGATTCAATTTTTAATTTAGGTTTACATCGAGTATCAAAAATTAATAAAAACTGAATTTAAGTTGAATATAGATACCTAAGAATTATATTGTTCTGTTTCCATTTGTTTAATAACGGTATAGTATTTCTGTTTTAAGTGTGTACCTACACGTAATATAAGTACCAGTTGTTACTTACATGATAATTGAAGAGCATTTCTGTCACTATTTGCCTTTTTTGTTGTCCTAATTGACGAATTAAATTTGTAGTTAAATTGACAGTGTCTAAGTTAATTTCAGCATCGGCTTCATGATGCACATAATCAAAATCTTCATCATTTAAACATTTAGCTTAGTTATGAAGAACAACGCAGGAAATTATTGTCGATGGTATTTTTTCTAATTTATTCCGGATTTTATACTGTAGGACAGGAAGTCTTGCTTTTAATTGCCCAAAGCATCGTTCAATTATTAGTCGTTCTCGACAAAAAACGTTATTATAATTTTGCTATTCCGGGTTGTTGGATTTCTCCAGGGAGTCGTAATCCAAGGGGATATAGAATAGCCATCATCCCCTAATGATACACATTCTTCGGTGCTGTTTTTAAGAATGTTGAATATATTGGAATTTTTTAATATTCTGCTGTCATGTACAGAGCCTGGCCATTGACAGTCTACGCTTGTAAATATTTCTTTGGCATTGCAAGTTGCCTGTATGTTGATGCTAGGATATCCTTTCCTGTTTATATATTCGTCACCGAATTCAGCAAACTTTGGAATCCTGACATGCGTACAATCTATTGCGCCAATAGAATTTGGGAAACGGTATCTCTCGGACCACAGTTGTTTAGCATCCATGAAGTCTTTAGCACTTTTGGGGAATTTAATCCAAATGTTGGCCTTCTCCAAAACGGCGTTCAGGACGGAAGTATATGTTTTACAAACCGTAGTCTGGTGAACACCAAGCTCTTCAGCAACGGCATTTTGAAAGCCAGGGTCTGACAACTGACGCAGAAAAATTTTCATCTTATTCACAGCTGATAATGCTCCTCCTCGCTTTTCACCGCTGTCAGTCAAAAAATAATGCGCTAACCACTCCACATTTTCGCGATTAAGCCGATATAATTTTCGGAAATCATTATCCCGGCACTCTTTACGTACACTGTATACTTTTTTTACACGAATATTCATATATTCGGTCATAATTACCAAATTCCAAATCAGTAAAAACAATCCGTATCTATATGTAATAGAACGAACAAAATTTCACTAAAAGCAAATGCAAGCTCTGATACACCTACTTTAAATATCAAATAGCAATTACTACACTAGAAAAAGCAATTGCGTGTTTTATTCATCCCATTCTAAGCATGTTTAAGCAATAGCTGGTGTTTTTTTAAGAAAATGCTTTATCTAAAAGCAATTGCTGCAACTTTAAGCAATTGCTGAAGGCAAAAGCAACTACTCAGATTTTTATTCATAGGTGTTTAAGCTTTTCCTTCAATTTTGTAAGACAAAGCAATTCCTACATTTTTATTCATTAGAGCCATTTTCTCAGATAAACACTACAGACTACTCGGCTTCACAAAACTTATACTTGCTTTTTGCCACCAACAATGCATGTAGTTGAGTTATTGCTCCATAGATGGACACTCACACTAAAAACTATCTAGTCTGCAAGATGACATTTTATTGTTTTTTTTTTGACGTTTTATAGGTTTATTTTTTGATGACATTATGTAGATGTTTTCTGACGATATACTGGTTTTCCTATAAAATGTCATCTTTGAATTAGCTTCATGCTCACTTTTAGTAGACGAGGGATGAACTAGCGGCTACCTAGTCCACAAGATGACATTTTTTTGGTATTATATAGGTTTCTTCTTACGGGAGGCTGGTTCTGGTTACGGTCTGTCACATCTGGCATGGAACTGGAGTGAATTGCCAATACGGAGCAATAATAATATGTAGTATTTACTGTTTTACTTTCATATTATGAAAGTCTAAGAACCTGAAGCAAATCTTAGATATTTCTAAATTTGCAGTACAACCAGCTTGTAGTAATCCAAATATCGGTCCAAACAAATTTTAGAGTCGGCATATTCGATTGCAAGTCGCACTAATTACGTCATTATCAGCGCCGCCCGTTAACACTAAAAAAAAATCCTGTCATTTCTATGTCGATCAGAACAAAAACTGTTTGAGATAATGTATAAAAACTTTGTACTGTTACACAATTCTCTCTATAAGTGCTAATTATGCCGATTTTGGCCATTTCATTTTCGATAATTTACAAAATATGTCTAACATTATACTTAATATCTAAAGAAAATTTTTCATTTTGGTATTATAAGTGGATCAATATTAGTTCACTTGAGCAACGGTTGCTATGGATGGGAATTCTGACGAATTTGGTCTTGATGAGTTTCTGAATAATTCGTCTTAATAAATAAACACCTGTTTCATAATAAGCGTGCTCATACTGCACTGGCAGCGACTTGCACGTCAGAATATGCAAGATGACGTCAGAACCATTTGAGCGTTCAAATAGATTTGATTTTTTTGTAACATCTGCGTCTTTTTTGCGTACTTCTTGGTACTCACCATGGACAACGATAAATTAATAACTCTTGTCCAGCAGAATAGTTCACTGTAGAATATGAGATATGAGAGACAAAAATTATTAATATTGACCTTTCAATCCCTCCGTTGTGACGTACTCGTCAGAACTAAATTTCATCAGAATTTGCATTCATAGTTACCGTAGTCAAATAATTTGTAGCTCTGAATTAAAATAGCCTTCATTCTTAAATCAAATATGACAGTTAAAAGACCGTGAAGAATGTAGAATTCAATATGGGGTAAAGTATCTACACAGATTTACCGTCAAAATGAACATTCGTTTAGGTCGCAGATATGTAGAGGCTTTTGATTTTCTTTAGAGGTATATCTTAAAACATTATAGGATTATGGTAGGTACGGATCTGGATGGTACAGATTTCTTTGCAGTAAAACATTCTGGTTATTAATTAATTCAGCCGCGAGAAGAATAATTAATGCTTCTGGGTGGTACTGTTATACGTTGGTAGTACCCAGTTCCAGTCGCAGGGCATTTACACGGTTTTTCTCTCTGCTACTCTCTAGCCCAAATCGGACCAAATTGATAAGAAAAATTCTCCGGATAGCTGCGTATTTTGGAAGCAATATGGCGCTACAATGCCGACTTGCTGTACCAATTATTTCAACGATTATAAAAAGCAGGATTATGGAAGGTTTTTATCTATTGCCGACTAACCAAATTAACCCAGGATACGGATTGAAAAAGAATGAGTTGACCGATTTTATAGTAAAACTATATTCTTTATCTACAACTTTTCTGTAGATATAATAATATTAGTAATAATAATAAATAATAATAATAATAAATAATAATAATATCACTTGTATTGATGAAGCTACATAAGTGGGATTCATTATGGCGATGTTTAGCTAAAGCCATTCTTACACTAAGCTACATGAATACAAAATAAAGATGGCAACACAATACAGTTTTTCTGTTTGCAATTTCACATCAGATTTCGAGCCAGCTTATTAAAACATCGAACTATTCATATAAATGCCTACAAACACAAAGCCAAAGTGCTCATTAACCAAATTACACATGTATTATTAACAAAAAAAGTGAACAAAGAAAAGAGAAATTATAACGCAGAGCTTTGTATACCAGGGCCACGATATATATTTTGAGATACACGAAAACTAAAAGCTATTTTTCGAAAACTAGTTTATTTATGTTCAAAGTATTCTCCTCCAGCATCTATGCACTTCTGTAGCCTGATCTACAAATGAAATTCTTCTAACCAGTCAGTTTTTGGAATGTCTTCAACAAACGCATAATTTTTTTCAAATTGTTGAAGAGTCAGAAGTCACACATTGCCAAATCTGGCGAATAAGGCGGATGTTCTAGCATTTTGATGTGGCGCTGGCGTAAAAGTCTACAGTAGATGGGCAGTGTGGCTAGAGGCATTGTCGTGATGTTGGATTGCACCTCTAATATTGACAGATTCGAGAACTTCTGTTAAACATCTGTTAACGTACCAATTTGCCGTAACTGAACGCTGTTCTTCCAGCTTGATTGCTTTTACTAAGCCAGTGCTGCGAAGGAAAACGGCGTACCTAACTTTACTCATGGCTCTGTGCTTCTTTACCATTGTTGGTGTGGGGTCATCTTCATGAATCCACACACGGCTCCTGATGTGTAGGAACGTCATAAAATGGTATATAGGTGTCATCACCTGTTATTATTTTTGAAATAATACGATGACCGCCATTGTTTGCATCTCCAATGTTTTCCGACAAAATCTAACATGCTCGCTCTTTCTTTTTGAAATCAGTAAGATGATGTGGCACCCATCTCCCAAAAAAACTTTTTTCAAATGAAGATGATCTTGCTAAATGGTGTGCACTGTTGCGGATCCTTAACCAAGAGTAAGTCGCATATGTGCAGCGAGAATCTTCTTCAATCAGCCGCTGAACTTTAGCAATGTTTTCTGGAGTCACACTAGAACATGGCCTACCACTACGTTCTTCATCAGCCAATGAAACACGCCCTCTTTTAAATTCGGAATACCAGCGAAACACACTTGCCCGGGACGGAGCTTCATTACCAAATGCCTGTTGTAACCGTTCCATAGATTGATGTTCAGTTAAACCGACTTTAAGGTCATAGTAAATCATAGCGGGATAACTCTCTCGAGACAACTCCATGTTTCGTCTTAAATTTGTTTACACCACGTGCAGTGTAAAACGGTTGCAAATGAACTGAGTGCGGCGTACTAATACAGGGCTGCTCTTTCCAGGGTTGCCAACACTTCGGTAATCAAATCTACTAAATCACACTGCCAGATCTACCAGAAATCTACTAGATGAAAATTATGAATTTCATAAATCTACCAGAAAATCTACTACAGTATATTCAGATAAGAGATAGACCGGACATAAACAAGACCACGTGATCATCGAACGCTGTAACATTCGGCAGGGACGTATTAAGAGTCACGCAGTACATATTTTAGATAGTAGATGCTGCTTTGCGTAACTTTGTAGTAAATTAGCACAATTCGATGTGTATACGATTGGTGATGGATATAGGATCATGTGGGGGTGGGGTAAGAAATATATAATAATGTAAATATACATAAGGGTTTCAAAATTTTCGCTTCGATTTCCAGCTTCGGATGCCGTCTGATGTTTGGTGAAATACAGTCGAATATAATCTCAAAATGGCGTTTAAATTAGCCTATAATTATAACAAGGTATAACAATAACAACGACAAACTCAACAACTTAATAAGATAACAAACGAAAACGTCCAAAGAAACATCAAATTGCAATGATGCACACGACATACGTAACACGTCTGAACCTGAATGTGACTCTGCCTTGATACGACTGCTCTGCCGCTCGGCATAAGCATTTAATTGCGAATTGACCAATGAGGGCTCCTGTTTTACGTCGAGACGGCGGCGTTAGCGTGAAAATCACCCGAACCTTTTGTTTACATCCGGTCTATCTCTTATCTGAATATACTGTAGTTATAGCTAACCCTCATTTTGCAGTTAATTACGTTTTAGGTTTTAAAGGCGTGTGCGCATATTATGTATTTTTAGTTTTTACTCTAATTTAGATTTTTGGACATATATTATTTCAAATTAGTAATACTATATTGTGAAAATATATTTTGTAAATATTAAAGATAAAGGCAAATCTATAAATGAAAGCAGAACATTTAGTAATATTGCCAAAATATATTTTATCTAGAAACGAAACAAAAATAGACGCATTAATTTTAGTCCTTGCACGAATAATAAAAAATACACTTTCTAAAAATAAAAATAATTCACTATTAATACAGTCAAATCTTGCGTTTTCCTTATGCTTTTTGGATTCACCATGGCTCTTAAGGTCGGCGTAATGACTCGTAATTATTTTACTACAAAATTTGCATTTAGCTTCCCTTCCTAAAGTGCTGTCAATAACCAACAGCCATTCTTTTAAACTAGGGTCCTTTAACCATGCGTCTCGAAACTTTTGAGTATATTGCGGTTTAGGCATGGTTCTGTAATCTGTAATACATAACAATTCAAAGTAATCTACATCATATATGTATCAGTATCATGCTCACTTACCAAAATCAAATAATTAGGCAGGCAGTCTTAAAATAGAATAGTATGCTATAGCTACTAGAAAGCACACAAATTATACTGTAAATAATGTTCAAAAATCACCTAAATCATCGTATACGAGATAAACTTCAATTGTCTGTGCAAGAAAAAACAATGTCTGTGATTCCCGTGGATGAAGCTCAGAACGTGACGTGATCAAATCACGTGACAAAAAGATGGCGGCTGAATTTCTCGCGCCATCTACCGAAGGAATTGGCAAACATCATGCAGTTAGTGATGTGCAACCCCAATAGATGTCCCAAAACGAGGCGCAAAATCGTTCATCTGACTTTCATACCCCTGATTTCCGACAAAGGAGAACTAAGAGAAGAAGTACGCATACGCAAATTAATTCATTGGTTCTGCCATCTATCGATTCGATGTTCAACTAAATCAAAATAGGATATTTCCCAATGACAGTTTGCTACTTTCTTGAATTATTACTTCAATTGACAAATTGACATGAGTAACTAAGGTTCATAATGATATAAATCGAAAGTGGCTTACTAATTATTCTGATTCTTTCATTCTACTGGATTTTCTACTAGCCACTAAAACGTAATTTTGCCCACTAAATGAAGACTGCAATCTACCAGATCTAGTAGAAAATCTACTAAGTTGGCAACCCTGGCTCTTTCTAGTAGTGCACTGTTGCCGGTTTTAACTAGTATAGTTAATAATGTGTATCTCAAAATATACAGCGTGCCACTCGTATTACATACAATACAATACCATTATAGAGACTAAAATACCTAATATGCTCACGGAAACAAGACAGATCAATGGTTTTATAGTCAACATGAATACCATTATAGAGACTAAAATAAACGTTGGAAAAGTGAGCTGCAGTAATGGACAATATTCAATGTATACGAGGGCCACGCTATATATTTTGAGGCACACGAAAACTAAAAACTATTTTCCGAAAACTAGTTTATTTATGTTCAAAGTATTCTCCTCCAGCATCAATGCACTTCTGTAGCCTGACCTTCCACAAATGAAATGCTTCTAACCAGTCAGTTTTTGGAATGCCTTCAACAAAGTGATTAATTGCTTGATCGATTTCTTCTTCGGACGAAAATTTTTGACCACGCAGATGTTTTTTCAAATTGTTGAAGAGCCAGAAGTTACACATTGCCAAATCTGGCGAATAAGGTGGATGTTCCAGCATTTTGATGTGACGCTGGCGTAAAAAGTCTACACTTATTGGGCAGTGTGGCTAGAGGCATTGTAGTGACTGTCAGGATTGCACGCAACAACTTTTTTTAAATGATGATGGTCATTCAAAATGGTGTGCACTGTTGCGGATCCTACTCCAAGAGTTGTCTCTATACTCGCATACGTGCAGCGAGGATCTTCTTCAATTAACCGCTGAACTTAAGCCATTATTTTTGAAGTCACACTAGAACATGGCCTACCACTACGTTCTTCATAATGCAATGAAACACGCCCTCTTTTAAGTTCGGCATACCAGCGAAACACTTGCCCGGGACGGAGCTTCATTACCAAATGCCTGTTGTAACCGTTCCATAGATTGATGTTCAGTTAAACCGACTTTAAGGTCATAGTAAATAAGAGCGAGATAACTCTCTCGAGACAACTCTATGCTTCGTCTTAAATTTGTTTACACCACGTGCAGTGTAAGACGGTTGCAAATGAACTAAGTGCGGCGACTTACTAATAAAGGACTGCCCTTTCTAATAGTGCACTGTTGCCGGTTTAACTAGTATCTAAGGGTTTTTTTGCGAATTTCATTAGAAAAAAATAGGCTTTTCCCTTTGGTACTTGGATTTACCAGTTGCGAGCAGTTTATGGAGAGAGACCAAGTAATGAACAGTAGTCAAATAGTCGAGCTTCATCCACCCAGGCATGTTGTAAGCATGGAACGTATTTTCTTGAGCCACACATGAATCCGACACAGTTGTTTTGAATTACTTGCAAGCGCCTTATAGTGAGCTGATCCAAGCAAGGCTAGTAAAGAATATTACAATAATTAATAATTGATATTACAATGGATTCAGCTATAACACGCCAATTTGCATATAAAACACGCAATTTTAAGTTTTTGTAATATGCTAGAGATATGACTTTTGAATCTCAACTTAGTATCTAAAATGACGGCAAGTATCTTAGACTCATTATTAAATGCCATTCAACATTAAAATCAACTAATCTCAAAATACTCTTCAGAATCTTATGGAGCAAGGCTTAAGCTTTAATTTATAAACTTAACCTCCAAAATTCTAACTTAAAACCGACTAGTCAAGCATTTAATATAACCATCTTTAGGGCTTTTAAGACATTTCACTTATAACTCAAAAATTGTCAACATAGAGAAACGTTTCTTGAGGCCCTTTTTGGTCAGAATGATGTACAAAACCTGAAAAAATTGAGCCGGACAAAAAGGATTGTAATTTTTTTAAAAAGATTGTCAAACAAATTTGGGCTGAAAATCTAGGCTAAAAACTATAATTTTTCAGGTGGGCAAATATCTAAATTTAAGTTACAAGACTCTGAAGAGTATTTTAAGATTAGTTCATTTTAAAGCCATTTCTTACTTCTCACGCCTACTAGCGGAGGTGTATTAATTGTAATCACGAAAACTTTGGAAAATAAAATATTGTTTTTAGGTGTTTTCAGTTTCTGAAACTCGGTCTAGTGGTGGCGGAGCTAGGGGCAAACAAAATCATTTTTTCAGTAGCTATTTATACACTTCGAACCCCATTATTATTACGCACCTATCAGTACATATTTCACACATCATATATTTTCGCGTACCGTTGCGAGATGGTTCATACTTAAGGCTCGTCAGTCGTTCCTACAATATTGTAGGGCGCCTTTATAGCCGCCTTGATTTTCATAGTATTTTCTCTCCTTCCGAAAGGCTGGGGTATTTATAGATTTCTACTGTTCCATGTTAACGTCAGCGCTACTGTGAGGCTATGTTTTCTTTTTGATTTGTAGAAAAACTCAGGCTGATATAACAGCTGATATAAATCAAAAGCATGAATAATTTGATGCAAATAGATATTTGTAACTTAACCTCAAAATAGAGCGTTGACACGGACCAGTAGAAAACTATGAAAATCAATTTTTATTAAATTATTATTATTATTTATTATTATATTATTATGTTTGTAGCTAGTTCAGACGGACTAAATTGTGCCGAACATAATCATTTAGAACTGATGACAATGTTGGGTGGGAAGAGTCAACCTACTTGATACCATTTTTTACCTTGTTTGTTAGGCATAAACTGGCGAACTTTTATCGCAGACTGTATAACGCGTAAGCAAGTAGGTAGTATAAACATTTTGCCCATGAATGATGCGATACGACATGTCATTGCCGGATTTGGCGCACCATTTCTGAACAAACGCACAGAGCGGACACTCAGTGAACGCGAAAAAAAAACAAAAAGACTTTTATCCGTGATCCAAGTTGGCGCCAAGACGATCGTCACCGTCATTGCATCGCCGGCTGCGATTTTACCTCTACTTTTATTTCTGTTCGTTGGCAGAGTGCTGCTGATTTACATTCCGCGCTTTGTAATATTTTAGATTTTGATGCGACCGGTGTTTCGCAATCTGGCTGTAGTGGCCCCAGCACAGCGCACGCCGAAAACAACGACATGCAGATTTGAGGTCGCCCGGTGGCTGATGCATACTCGATTTGTTGCTGCTGGCGGCTGGCGCCACATTCTCATCTTTTCTTTATTCTCAAGACCGTCTGTCTCGGTTCGGCTTACTCACATTACTAGCGTTTTATATCCGGAAATATATAAAAAAAACGAATCGAGAAATATAAATTAATAATTTAATCATAATTAGTATAACATTAATGTATATAGTACAAATGCACTCAATGGATAATGTGAATCAAAAACATTTTAAAGAAAAACTGTTGAAACAGTGTGGGGCCTTAAAATTGATTGAGGTATGGATGAACTTGTAATTTGCAGTTTTTCTAATCTCTAATACTACCACAAAACATCTAAAATGCTACTTTAGCGTCAAATTGTTTGTTCAGTGAATGCAAGTGTATAGAGGTCCTAAAAAATGTGTACCGAGGTACGACAATCTATGGACCTTTTGGCATAAATGTGCTTAGCTGTACCGTAAATGTAAAAAAAGACAACATGTAATTATGCTTACACAGGTATGTTTCGACGCGAAGCAGATGTTTTTTTTTTATTCTAGAATCTTCTCTCCTTTGAGTCGCGGCAAGCGGCAGGGTTATTACGTTAGAAAACCTACATAATGTCAAAAAGCTGACAAAATGACAACATGCTGACTGATAGTTCCTAGTGTGCAAAGAGTTCATTCCGCGTGTGCTCGCTATGAGCGCTGTGAAGTATATCTTTTATATGTGGCAGATCGGTTATTGATATGTTGTCCTTTCTGGAGAGATGTTATGGTTAAAGTTATAAATTGCGATTTTATCCGATTTTTTTACGATTTCAAAAACATTGAGATGTATTACGGAAAATCACAATCGCGCCCGCGTTGTGTAATTAAGCCAGATCACAGAAAAAATAGGAATGACGCATTACACACAAAACATTTTCGCAGTGCCTCACATCTGGGCGCTGATTTGTATTTTCTGCTTGACATCGAAAAATACATTTCTATAAAATTTAAATGACAGGAAATAAAAAATAATGAGAAATACGTTTTCATGATTCATAAATATTCTTGTCTGTAGCCTATTTTCTCACCTGTAATATACTTCACCAACCAACGGTTTTCTTTTTTATTTCTCTCATTTTTATAATTCAGCAAATTTGCAAACGTAATTTCCAGGATGAAGCATACATCTCAAGTAAGTGTATTTAGAATAAGAAACCAAGGGTGTACCTCCAAAAATGCCATCTCTGAAGCAGATGCGAGATCACATTAGAG